AGGGAAATCCCCCACCCCCCCCCCTTTCCCAGGAGGGGGACCCCCCAAATACCCCCTTCCCCCCCCCCCCCGCCCCCCCCCCCCGCCCCGGCGTGAGGTCGCTCCGATTTGCAAATAACGGCTTCAACGCACCTGCATGTTGAAGAAGGCCAGCTTGCCGAAGACCCTTCGGGCCATGATTCGCCCCGCCACCGACACCTCGGCCTCCTCGTCCTCGGTGCCTGCCTCCAGTCCCTCCCACTGCTTCTGCAGCTCGCTGCTGGAGTGGGTCACGTCCCAGCTATATAACAAGTGTTCGATTGCGGTTGACAGGGGCACCGGTGGGAAATGGAGAGGGGTACGTACTCGCGGTTTGCATGCCTTAGCTGTTAGACCATTCACCACGCATCCTCGAGAGGACGGAGAAAAATCTCACCTGTAGGCGTACGGGTTCCCGCCGGCCGCGCGTATCTCCTCCGCCTTCCCGATACGAACCTGAACAAACAACAAGGGAGCAACGCGGTCGATTAGTCATTATCTTCGGCCGGAGAAATGGAAACAGCACCGGATGGTCTCGTTTCAGAATGACGGGTGATGATGAGGCCACCTTACGACTTTGTCGAAATAATTTTTTGGACAAAGCAAGACACAGCAGTGAGGTCCTTCTTGTTAGGTTAGGCTAATCCATTAGACTGCTACCCTCAGTCAGCACTGAGAGCGTAGTCCAGTGGATGAGCCGTTCTATGCTCTTGGCTTTCCACCTACGACTACCTTACTCAGTCGTCGCTGACTGAGCAGTCCAATGGATAGCCTGTATTTAACACTTGTGCACATTGTCTGCTTCCTGGTTTGAACGGCAACACTAATATCCAAACACGCTGACTGAACGTAGTCCAAATGGATTAACCTTTGTTTCATTCGCGTTTGAACCGCAACACTATATTCCAACCCCTAAGCGAGGCCAGTGCACACCGGGAATAGGTGATATGTGTGGCTTGCACTGGGTGTGTGCCCGAGGGCAATAGGTGGTACTGCTGCATCGTGTTTCGACCAAGTGGGTAGCACTGCTGCTGTCGCGAATCCCCCTCTACCCTCCCATAATACCGTGCAACATATTGCATCACATTGCGCCCGCCTTGCTGTCTGATAGAACCATGCTGGTGAGCGTGCGGGTTCCCCACACGGGTTGAATACAGTTGTGTCACCCTAACCTAGGTAATACTTGGATGCGAGCCACCGCGGAAAGGAAATATACCGCCAACAAGAGGTGCAGATCGCGATTTTTTGCTCGACGAAACCGTCGCTGCTTCGCGCAAGACAAGTCCCAATAACGGCGTCCATACGACACATATCAGCAGTGGTGGGCCCTGTTTAGCGACCCCCTGTTTAGCGACATGCTCTGCAATATCGCGATGATCACAAAATCGCCTCACAGCCGCCATAACCGCCTGCCCTGAGTGTAGCGACCAAGTTCCCTCCTGACACTAAAATAGGGGTAGCTAAACCGGGCACACAGATACTTGTCGTGCATGAACCCTTTTCCTCCCTCTCACCGCGCGTAACTCCGCCACCGGAGTGTCCTCTGCCGGGGCACCCCCCTTCTTCTTCCCCCCGCCCGCCTTGCCCCCTTTCTTCCCCCCCCCGCCGCCGCCGCCCTTTTTCTTGTTCGCTTTGGCAGGCTTCTTCTCGGCGACCGCACCCGGAACGGCGGCACCGGCGGCGGCGGTGGCGGCGCCGCCTTCGCTTGCCGCTGCTACGTCGCTCGTTGCCGAGCACAATCCCCGCCGGCGTGCCCGGCCACCACCGCCGCCCTGGATCCTCCCGCCGTTAGGGTAGAAGGCACTGCTGCTGCTCGGCGAGCTTGTCCACGAAGGGAGGGGACCAGCCTTGCTCCGCCTGCTGATGCGGCGGCCGGCAGTTATCGTCCGCCCTTCACCCGCAGCGAAGATTCCGAAGGCACTCAGTCTCCGCGAGCGGTCGAAGCCGCCCGGTGATGATTGGCCGACGCCGTGTGTCGGCAGGGCCGACAGCCTGGAGGAGCAGCAGCGCGCGAGGTTGGCGGCCCCGGCGCGCCCGCCTACCGCAGCGGCCACTGCGCCGCTGCCGGCCGCTACTAGGCCGAAGGCGTAGGAGGCGGGCAGAGACGACACGACCATGGCAGCTGCTCCCAGGCGAAGGATGCCTCCCCTCCCACTTCTGCTGCGAGAAGCGATCGTAGCTGCTGTTGTTGTAGCAGTAACGTTTGCGGCGGTGTCACGTCGATGTTGCAGTTGCAGCGGCGTGTGGTGGCACTGTGTGTGAGAGTGCATCTCCCTGCACACACACACAACCGGAGAGACGAACAAGAGCACAGGGGTGCGTGGCAAGGCGTTATCGATGCGACCCAGAGTTGACATCGCGGAGTCGGGCACGTGAGCACGCCACAGGTCCTCAACAAGCAGCACCAACAACAGCAGGTGAAGAGTCATGTTGTCCGCACATCCCTAGCGCAACCGCCACGCGTCGACAGCAGTCTGAATCATCTGGAAAGCCAGAAACCTACCCAACCCTATCAAGCCCTTACTGTCGAGCCGCACCATCGCATTGCCATCTTTGTTGGATAACATACCTCAAGGTTCGCGCCAACGAGAGCTGCAGTATCGGGATGCACGCGACACAACCAGCACAGCTAAGCGGCTCCGCATAATCAGGGTAGGGTTTGTCGTCCTGTGGCGGCGTGTTTACTTAGGGGCCTTCACGCATGCGCAGCACCCTGCCGACAAGATGTGTCGTCCTGTCGTCCTGCGGTGCGCGACCTGCGCTCTCTCACCACACGCCCCGCCCGCCTATCGTAGCGTGTTAATCAATGGTTCCTCTTCTGCCGTGGAGAACTGCCAGGAGGGAAGACCATCATAGTCTAAGCGGAATTCATCCGCGCGGGAGAATAGCGTAAGAGTCATGTTGTGCACATGTGCTGAAGTACATATATAGTTGATACAGCACCCCCTGGACCGATTCTCACAGCCCGCTTACTCCACGGCGAAGAAGATGAGTCCTGTATTAAAAAGACAGGTTTTGGGAAAGATCTGTGCGAAGACGGCTTCAACGCCGCCGTTTTCGGCGCTGCCACTCTACTCTCTCTGCTTTGAAGAAATGGAGCTAGCTTTGAAAATCGGTCCAGGGGGTGTGGTATCTTGTGTCACCTACGAACCGGTACATATTGAGAACGGAATCGCTTCACACTATAAATAATACACCGCTCTCGACAGATATTTCTCTGGGTACTCCTCGTCTGTAGTCCTGTTTGAACGTTTGAATCGACCCACAGAGCACTAGCAGGAATGCCGCAACACTGCTGTATGATACGAGAGGCCAGCACGTGGACATGATGTAAAAAAATGCTGCACACCGCGGGTGGGTGCGGTCGCCAAACCCAGTGCTGCTGCTGTCATCCATTCGTTCACAATGAAGTTGCACACACACATCAACAATGAGAATAGTAGACGGCTGGAGTGAATTTTGCAGGCCAACAACCACCGATGCGTGGAGCTCGCGAACAGCACCGTGACACTGCCTGTGATTTCATCTTCCTTCCTTCGTCCTTTTTACTTCCAGAAGAGCGACACTCACTTTTTTTCGATTAATAACGGGCGGTCTGTGGTAACCACCCCTCCCTCTCTGTCTTCGGTTGGTTCGCTTGTAATTCTACATCATCACAGACAACTCTCTCCGGTGGTATGTCTAGTGAATGCATGTGGGTCTTTTCTACCGCTCGCTTCCTTCTGAGCGACACGCGGGAGGCTCGTTCGTCACTTTCGCCGCTCACGTAGCGGATTTATATATGTTGCATGTCCGGAGCTCACCAGGCATCCATCCGTGACACACACGTGGTTGGTGTGCTCGATGCCTGACGTCGCGGGAATGGCTTGCTTTCCCGGCGGGGACACCTTCCGCGAAGAGAAGAAGAGAGGCACGGCGAGAAGAGCAAAGAACCCGCACATATACACACCCACCACCCATCCGTATCAATCTACAGCAGTAGAGTGTTGTCTCCCGCTGCCAACGGCAATTGACTGACTACATTGCGGATGAGGCTGATCGCACGCACCACCGCCGCCGCCGCAATCCTACACTACGTGCGATTTGTTATTCGGAACGCTCGGCCTTTCGCCTTGGGTGAACTACGCCACTTCCTCCGCGAACACACGGAACAGACGAAGTGTGTGAGATGGCCACATGCTTGCCGACTGTTTCGTGTCGTATCTGTCTGGTGGCTGGGTGGAGCGGTTTGTCTGAAGCTCAAGCTTCACAACAAATTGTTTACTATTCTCTATCGATCGCACTAACCGGCTGGGAATGATCAGACGAACCGTGAGTCTCAGCGGGGCTTGGCTTGTGTTTTCGTAATCTACCAGTTCAACAAGACGGCGAGGTACGTGGTACGACTTGCCGACCGGAGGGAGGAGGCAGGCGTGATTGTGCCGCGTTGTTACGAGATTATCTGGTCGCTCTGTTGACAAGCCGCAGGAGCGTCGGTGCTGCTGAATCACGCTGAGAGTACAAGCATCTCATCATCGTTGGATAGACCAGACACAATTTTGTGCGCACCAAGCACAAGACGACACGGTTGATCTATGTAACATCCTGGCTGTCTCTCTCTCTCTCTCTCTCTCTCTCTCTATCTGCAATGCTGGCTTGAGATTCCGTGCAGAACACGGGAGACAATTGAAAAACAAACAAACCGCGGGACACGGCGCCCATGCCATGAGACATAGAAAAAGAGTAAGTAACTCTCGGTTGGTTCCGAACCCTTCAAATATTCTACTCACCACCCACCTATTATGCAACAAGAAGACGCCGCCCTACAACTATCCGCAAAGTAAAAATACTTTTACTCCCGCTTCATCTCCCACAATCCAACTGAGCAAGTCTTCGAGAATGTTCTTATGGCACAGCTAAGATCGAAGTCGACGCGCCTTCCTTGTTATCACGTATAGTGCATTACCCCAACACAGAGAACAAAAAACAATTCATCGTTCAGACACGCATCGCAAAAATGAAAGAAAACAAAAAACATGTTCATGCGTGCAATGCCGACTCTCCGTAGGTTGACGCACGCTATGATATACAAAAGTCTCAGTTCTTATCTTGATTATCTTGAAATAAACCTAAATCATTTCTTCAAGAAGCAAGATTACATTCCACCAACCAAGATAAAATAGGGGGCTCGGCCAAAGCCAGCCAACCCACTCCCGGCAAAAAGAAAAACAAGCCATCAATATGTAGGTAGGCTATTTCTAGCGAAAAAGATACGCCCACTGAAGAATATAGCGAGAAAACAGCAAATAAATGACTAAATAAACTCAAGAGAGTAATCTGACGGCATGGCTGCGAAATATCAGCCTCTCTCCTCTCTGTCACCTTCCTCTGCCTATTCCAAGCTAGTTACTGCAAGTAACGCTCTGAACCATCGCTCGGCCTATCATCATCATTGTCTCGCTCACGACCGAAGGACCTGCTACTGGTAGTGTCCACTGCACACACAACATCACCAAGGGTCAAATAGCCACCGTGCGTGAGACAGACAGCACCGCCGTAGCGGCCCCGTGGCGCTAGAAACGTTCCAACAACCT